ATCTCATTTGCATCATTTTCAAGTGATCTTGTTAACATTTCACGTACAATATGTCTATGCCAAAACGAGTTTGGGTAGAACATTGACAAGTAATCCCAAATCCAATTCAATTTTGATGCATAAGGCTTCCTTTACCATGACAACAAACATACACTTATTCACACCATAAACATGCATTTGTATTTGTATCTGCATAATATTTATGGTGTTTGTTTAAGGCTTGTGTAAAAAAAAAGAGCTAGGGTCTGCTAGAAACTGAGCTGAAGTGGAGTTTCTACCTGTGTAGGGGACACTTAAGTTCCAACACACTGATGCCATGCACAGTCGCATCTCAGAATTCCATCAGCTGTAGCCGACAACCATGGTCTGGATTGGTCTACTCTCATTCCAGTAACATTTACCTGGGCATTTGTATGATGCTTGTTAATAGATAACTGTACATACTAAATGCCCCTAGGCTCATGTTCCCTACCATACTTAAGTGATGGCGACATTATTGATTGTTAACTGATCATCGTAACCCCCTTTATTACATACGCAGAAGGGTGATTTTCATTTGTGTGTAGTACAGTGTGGGCAAAAGACGCTGTTATACGTCCTGCACGCTGCTCGTGCCAAACCATACTTTGTGCCTGTAATCGTGTTTGTTTATCTATATATTCTACCTCTGCTGCAATAAATGGACAAATACCTAACAAAATTATTACATTTTGTTTTTAATTCATATGATGGTAGTTTCTGGTGACCTTTATTGAAAAATGATCTCAGGGGTGGGGTGGTAGTGTAGGTCTAGGGGGAACATTTTTCTTGCTCTTGAAATAGGTAGAGGTTTCTTCAAACAGTGAAAGTGCCACTGTTGTTAGCGACTTCAATAAGTCGTGTTGCTCATCTAAGGATGCAGGTGGTAAATTGCAAGTGGCACGCCTCTTTCGTCCTGTTGTAGTAACTTTTGAAACTACAGCACCACGAAAGAACTTGATGTCTTTTATAGCAGAAGGCTGTACTTTCTCTGTACAGTAATTGTTTCACTCATATGATTTGCTTGTACAAGATGTACGTGTAATAATAAGTTTGAATAATAGTGCAGCTACATGGGAACATGACTCACCTAATCTGAAATGCAAAAGTACTAGTTCTTTATAGTATTAAACTTTGAATTTATTGGGGTTTTTTGGTTGGCAATGCAATGTAAGGATAGGATATTGGCATATACTTGACTCAACAGTCAGCTTAGCATTGAGAACACATGGTTAAATGATATATTTAGTTTTTAAAATTATGACTGGAATTATCTGTATTAGATGCTATCCAAGCTTATTATGATATTTACATTTTTCTAATATAGTGCCAATTATAATTAGTACTCAATAATTATTCAAAAACCTCAAGTTTCACTTGATATATTTGATATGGGCCCATCATTGCATAATTGGGCCAAAATTATTAACATTGTCTCAAACCACCATTGATATATAAATAGATCACCTATAACATACATAATTTGAAATTACAATCATGCAAATACCATTGGTGAACACCAAATTAAAGCATTACTTACCCTGTCATGGACGTACAATGAGCAGCAACAACATCACCACTGTCACTCACTCCTACCCAAGGTTTGTGAGACTGGTCATTATTTCTCAGGGATGGCCTAACATATGCAGTTAATATGCTAACTCCTTTAATGGTTCTATGGTGAACTACTGTCTTGACAAAGCCAGCGCTAAAATAGCTATGGGCATCAAGAAACTTGCATGTCCTTATTGCCTCATGAATAAACATGCCTAAAATTAAGAATTGTAACTATGTAGGAATTTGCAACAATTAATAAAGCATATAAATAAATAATATTTATTCAATATAAATTATACAGGAGGAATAACGTTATATACACCAATGCCAAATTTAATATCACTGTGATTGGTAGGATTACATTAAATTGTTATTTTGTGTTTTTAAATGTTCTAATTTATAAATTTTCAGTAAACAACATCAATGGATGACTTTAAATAAGCGCATAACTTATTACAATAATAAATAATAACTGAAAAATATAGTTAAAATGCATTCTCATAAAAACATAATACATGTACTAGTACACAATAATTTTGTTCAGCATACTATGCATTTCATGAAGGCATGAATGTTTTATATTAATATCTATAAATGCTTATAAAATTCAAATAATCATGAAAAACCACTATACCAATCACAACTCATTTAGGTTTAAATCACTTATTTCATAGGAAAGCAGCAAAGAACGATGGGTAATGAGCATTACCCAATAGCTTCTAATGGCTAATGAAATCATTTTTGGATTTTAATGAAATTTGAAGATCTTCCAAGGTGAATGTTTAATAAATAATTATTAAATGTTCATTACAAAATTCATGCGTTTATGGAATGCATATAATCTATTTAACCTATTAAGGTAGAGATGCAGGTTCGTGGGCACTTGGGAGTGAATTTTTGCTTTTTCTTATCCAAACAGTCTTGGCTATGGACTGTTAACATTTTGTAGAATTGTGAATAGTGTAACATACTCAAAAACGATTTTAAAATATAGATAACCGGTGCAAACATTCTCTTTTTTGAATGCTTAGCATGATTCAGCAAGGCTGTACATGAATAATAAAAAAGAAACACGGTGAAACAAAGAAATGACAGGATCTCCATATTATGCACTATATTTAACTTTTAACAAAACGATAATACATTTAAATTTGGAACTGTTAAAGCCATTTTAATTATGAGCATTAGCAAACTTCTTACTGAGTGAATTGTTATGCAAATTAGCAATTATTTCAGCTTCTTTTTAGTGCACATCCCAGAAGTTTAAAAAAATAGCTCCTAGGTGCTTTGACCTTTTGTTTTGAAATTTTCACAAATGATTGACAATGTGTGTATCTTCAAAACGCCGTCGGGGCATTGTTTTTGGTTGAGCAGTGTTACAGCAATCGTACAGACAACAAGCCTGGGTGTTAATTTATGAATAAACTTGAATTAGTGAAATTTGAGCTGCTGCCCTGCAAAATGGACAACGGATAGACAGTTTTCAAGACGGCACTTTCTTCATAGTAAAGAGATGCACCCATAAACCAATTTTGACAGGAAACAGAAGCATGGTTTAGAAGCTAATTTTTTTTTCAAAATCACCTTTGACCAAAATAGCACATTTTTGTGCACATTTCAAACTACAGTGTCCATAAAAAATAATTACAAAATAATTAAAATAATTAAAAAAACAAAATTTTAAAATTCATACTACAGCTTTCCGAAAATATATAGTTTTGTGGACAAGGGTTTCCTTGGTTTCCTAATTAACTAATTAAAATATCTGTCAGGTAAACTGCATCTCTACCTTAAATACCATAGGAATGAAAAAAATACCAAGTTTTTTTGTGTCTCGAAATTGTTAATACACAGTTGTCATTTTAAACAGAGGTCACTATAATTAGTTCTAATAGGAGACTATGCGGTATTCATGTTAGCTTTGTGTTAAACACGTATATTCACACTCATTGGGACTGTTAACAGCCAATGTACCAAACCTTGTATATCTACATTGAGTGTCGGGTATCACGTT